TTAATAAGGTTAAGCGTTATTACAGTCGAAAGTCGTTAATCCGGAATCGTCGGGACTTCGGCGATTCCGGATTATCGATTTTTCCGGATTATAGATCATAAGTTTAAATCTGGTAAGATGGCATGCAGAAATTACAAAATTAAAAATATGAAACCGTAATTTATGAAATAAAGAACAATTATGATCTAAAGGGTATCAAAATTTACAAAAAGAAAAAGCTTAATATTTATTTGCTTACTTTATTAAACATTTCTTTCAATGTAAGTTGTTTAAGTTGCTTCGTTTCATATGATAATACTTTCTCTTTAATTCTATTAAACAGACATAAATTCTTGTTTAGTTACAAAGTTCCGCTGTTCAAGTCCTATAATTGCTGTGTCGAGAATACCGACTAATTTGTCAATCAAAATTTTTTCGTTTTCAATAACCTCTCTGTCACTTTTTTCACTATCGGAAGCGAATTAAAATGACGAGGAACTTGATTTAAATCATATCAAAGACGGAGTACATCGTAATGAAATACTACATTTAGTAAGGAATTATAAGCCAATTAAAATAAAACATCTGCCCTGAAGATAAGGATAGTGCTAACAGATCAACTTCCAATTCATTGCGCGTATTATGCGCATGCGCACACGCATATTCGCAGCCGTGAAGGTCTTACGCGCACGCGTAAACGCCTGGGCGCATGCGCAGAAAGTTTGTAGCTTTGAGGTCCGGATTATAGATCATTCCGGATTTTGGGTGTCCGAATTAACGACTTTTGACTGTATTATAACTTAGCTCAAAAGTGCGTCTTACCTGCATTCTAACGAGTGCTACTGACAGATCTATAGTAGAAATTGGCTACTGATTAATAAATTTCCTTTACTATTCTTGTTTTCTCCATCTTTACTTACCTGTTCATATATACGACGTTGTTTTCCATTATTACTGTTATACCCTTACTGGATCATTAAAATTTATTTTATTTTAAATAGTAATTACTTTTCGATTTACAGAATTTTCCTCCAATAGACTCCCTTACAAGACAGATGGAACTTTTTTAAGGAACTAAAATGCAATCAAATTTGATCATCATGAAGGCAGTTAAAATGCAATAAAATTAGGCAGATGGTTAAAATACAATCAACATTTATCATCGGGCTCTTCCTATTTACACGAATGATAATTCTTTATATCTATTTTTAAAATTCGCTGTTTAAGTTTGTCTAATAATTGGTTATTTAATTATGGAAAAGCATGCAAAGACCGTTGATCTTAGGAGAGCTGTGTCTTAGGAAAACTGATCCATATTTTTGTTTCATATGGGGAGAACTTAACCATGCAGTTTACAATGAATAGAACTCGCAGTAAACTACAACTTTTCAACAACCTTACCTCTTTGGTCACTGAATTTTACCTAAAGGACAGGGGCGTTTTAAAAACAAGAACTAATTCAAAATTTCTGTCTAGAAAAAGCAGGAAATTCACAACTTTTGATTGCTTGAAATGGAACACAATACCCGAACATCTTACTAGAAATGTCGGAAAAGTATTGATTAATATCATATTTAATGCGTATTTTTCATGTTTTAAAAATGCTAATGCAATATACGAAGTAAATAACTAAATGCATACCAATAAACAGGAAAAAGAATACCAAAGCACATAAGTAATAAATTTATAAATACTCTTGTAAAAATAACAAATACATGGCTGAATGTTGGCTTTAATAAAATGTTTCAACTTTAATTCGATTAACAAATTTCTTTTTCAGTTCGATATACTGATAATAATACTGATTAATTCTTTATTTGAAATTTTTTGGAACGTTAGGAATCGAGTTGGAGTTTCAATGCTGGATGATTTGCACTGCTGATAGGCTTAATTTTACCGATTGTTTTGGTTTCCTTGATTATGATAAAGCAAGTAAAACTAGCTGACTAAAAGAGGACGCCTTTAGAAAGGCCTTTCTGAAGAAAACTGATTTGTATCCACATTACAAATAGAGAACATTCGAAAACGTGCATGCAGCCAGCCTATTCCCCAAAATATGAACCCGTGCCGAATTACCATTTTTTGGCAATTTGACCTCTCGGCCGGTGATGAGCCAGTTTTACTAACTGAGCTATACGAAATCAGATATTGGAGACGTTAACGTCCTTTAAACGTTTTAATTCCGCAAATCTGACAAGGTGAACCATTTAAAGATCCCATTTTGTTTTGCTTGGGGTATGTTTTAGCTCGATAAGTATTTTCCAAAGCACTATAGTGTTTGGAGATCGGCTGCCTTTGGTTTCAATTACATTACTTAACTTCCTAATGTATGAAAAAAGCTACTCTCATAAGTTCCTTTTAATAAATTTTTTAAACTTTTTCTAGCACAAGCGAATTATCGCCGTCGCTACTAGCTTTTTGAGCTCTCGGTAAAATTTCAAAAAAATAACTCAAAATTTTATTTTGGAATTTGTAGATGGTTAGAAACTGAAATTACAAACAGTTTGTTTCCCACTAATCATAGTAAATAATAAAATGAATTAAAAGGTTTAGTTACCATTAAATTTAACCTATCTCGAACTTTACTTCATAAACTTGCACCAGAATCAACTACTTCTAATTAAATGCTAAAGAAAGCAAATAATTTTAGATACCAAATGATACTGGCAACCAGCTCCAGCTCACTAGTCAATTGGAACACAAGCAGGACAGAGTTGATTGCTACTAAGTACGCTACAGCAGGAGCTAACAAAAGTGAAATAAATCATTCCTATTTGCATTTTTATAGTTGATTTGTTTTGAATTCTGGTGGAAGGAGAAAATAGAGAAATAAAGTGAAGACAGAATTAACATAAAAATAGCTGGTTAATTAAATAAAACCTTTTTTTCTTGACTAAGCTCTTCTAAGCCAATATTTGTCTTTAATAGCTTTCTGTTTGGACAAGAAACTCAAAACTGGGATTTTAAATTTTAGAAATCTAATAGGATCTGTCCTTCACACCTCTTTTTTCTAAAACTTGGGAATTACTAAGTTTGATCAAAAAGCAAATCAAATAAAAGAAATAAGAATGTAAATTTTTCTCAACAGAAGCTTTGTTCAGAAGTAGTATACTTTCGTCGTATTTACAGGGACTTCGTCCTTTTAGAAAATGTTGTAGATTTTGCCCTTGTTTTATATTTATCTATTTAGTTAGTTGTATAAATTTTACTTCGTGCACATTGACTGAATTTATGATAAAACTGTATGTATTTTGCGCATACCAGTCGCCTTTAAAATATATGTATAATTTCACTACAAAACCAAACTAAATTTAAGATTTAATTTTGTCTTGATTATTAGTATTGTAAAGAGTTGATTTCTTCATGTTAAAAAGAAGCAGAAAAAAATAATTGGAATAATATTATGGAGAAAATTTGAAAACAAAAGTTGCTGCATTGTTAGAAAGAATTCTTAATGCGTATTTTAAACATTGAGGTAAAAAAATCTTTCTCTTTGTATTAATTTGACAATATATATTATTTTAATACATCGACTCCCATAGTTGATGTTTCACGTTTTTACCTTCAATAATTTTAGAGCGTCGTACTATTAAAAAAAATAGTAGTCCGTAATTTGCTACCATTAGAGTTTGAACGACTTGACCTCCCTCTTCTCTTTCTAGTTTCCCTTTAAGTTGGGAAGAATGTAAGGAGTCTTCCCCTTTCCCACGTCGTGCTCTCGTGATGTAACAGATAGCACGTCTAACTAGCATTCGAAGAACCTGGAGCTCGAATGCCAAGTAGAGCACACAGGACGTTTCTCACTACGAAAATCTAAGAGATGTATTTAGCATTTTATCTAATTTAAATAATTTCGGTATAATTAATCCGTCCGCTTTAATCTCTGCACTTGTCCTTAATCTTTAAATGTTAAGAAAAGCTTCTGTTTCCGCAGGTCATACTAATGACTTCGTTCTGTTTTTACGTGTTATAACATTCTTATTGATAGTAAAATATTTAATTTATGCTCTTATCTTATATGAGATCTAATTCTGTGCAACCTTTCAGAATTCTCAAAAATTTTATTTCTTTATGATAAGATTAAGTTTTATTCTGTTGCGTAATTTTGACTTTTATTTTATATCTTTATTAGCAGCTACGCGACCAGATTTCGTCTGGCTTTTAAATGTCCCAAGGGAAAAAACATTAATCTTTAAATTTTAAAAAATGTGCAGAAATTTACTCTGCAGAACAACTTCTAAAAAAATATTTAAAAAAAAAATTAAAAGTTTTTTAAAAAATGTAAAACATATAATAAAATTACAATGAAATTAGCAATATCCCTTAATACAAATATTAATTATCCCAATAAATAAATTAACCAACTTCCCGTTGCCTTCTCTCAACAAACATCCAGTATCCAAGAGAAACATTAAATTTAAAAACTGCACAGAATTATCGCCTTCATTTTTACAAGTGGCAACAGTGCTGATTTTCAACAGTCATTAGTCCAGTATACAATTGAATGAAAAACTGTTGCCAAAACCCCATTTCTGAAAGAATGAAACTATTCAAAGTGATGCAATAAAACCGAAAAGATAAAATAAAAAATATCTGATTCGAATTTTGAAAAACTCGCTTCGAGGTGCGATGGCTCTTGTTTAAATCCACCTATATACCAAATTTCGTAGCTCTGGATCTACTAGCTTACGCGCAGCACGAGCGAAAAGGCCCACAGACTCTTTCTTTTATTATATGTAGATATTTCAATACTAAATAAAATATTATTACTCTAATTTAGCAACAGATTAATTAAGCTCTTTGTGGTTTAGTTCATTTTTATGATAAAGCATGTATAATTGTTTCAGTTTTCATTTCTATCAGTTTCAAAATCTTGCGTAATATCTCAACGAGATAATGCGATTGAGATACAGGTTGTCATCCAACCGACTTTTAATTTAGTTGAATTGTTTAGTCAAAGTAATAAAAGATTGATTTTGTTTAAAAATTAATGCTAGATCCTGAATTTTTATTTTGCACAGGAAGGCATTCTGAAGAAGAAGAAGACACCAGTACTGAAAGTCTTCCTGAACACACAGAACATCCTTCTAAAGCTAAATATTCGCAAAATCCTTCCCTGAAATTGCTATGGCTGCTGGTATCTTCGATGATTGCAATAGAAGAAGGGAACTGCCAATATTGTCCAACACATAACGGACTGTACCCTCACGTTGCCAATTGTAAATGCTATTTTAAATGCATCGATGGCGTACCAGTCCAAAAGTGGTGCCCACCAGGTCAGAAATTTGATGTCATGACCATGTCCTGCACGTTTACGTCACATACAGTTTGCGCAGGTAATGTTTAAAATAATGCGTTTTTGTTTCTTAACTTAAAGGTAGTGAATAAGTAAATTATTAAGTTCTCGAAACTCTTGGTTGGGTGACAAAAGCATTGGCATTGAAACTCAGCAACTAGAAATGTGGACTGCATTGCATTGGTTCATCAGTTACTAGCAATCATTAGTATCTACAGCTGATAAATCAAGCACAGAGAGATACATACGATATCGCAAGTAAGCAGGCTGTTATACTTGCAAAGCATTAAGTATGTAGAAAAAAACGTAATTACACTGTATCAAATTTGACAAAAAATTGCGTTGATTTAAATTTTTCTTAGGCATTTCCTGCATGCAAAAACGAAATAAATATATGAAATTGAGATATAATTTGAGAAACCTTGGACTTAATCGGATTAATATTCTTCCCGACAAATCATTACTTCTTTTCCAATGCAAGGATTCTGTAATTGCGACCAATATTTACCACTAAAATCACAGTTTCCCTTTTTTGTGGAACGGGTTTTCAGTTATTAATGCATAGGATTATTAAGTAATGTCGATATCCTGAATAAGACTCAGAGTCAAACAAATTAGCTTTGTCAGAATGAAACAAGTTTCAAATTTTTTAAACGTTTCAATAGCCATTTTTATGAATGCTGTTTTGCAACAGACGACTAATAACATTTAATGTTCCTATTACAGAAATAATGTTTTCAGATTTACAAAACATGCTCTGAAACTGTTTCATTTTAGCACACACGTGTCCTTTGAAGTAAAGATTTCTGTTTTCGAACACCATTATATTATTACTGTCTGGTTGCAGTATGTTCGTATACAGCTATTGACAACAGAGTGTACAGCAGAATTAAAATTAATCTTTCATTCCCATATAAGCATTTATTAAAGAATTCCTCCAAAAATGCTATTTTACAAAATTTTTTTAATAACATGTCGTTTTTCGGTTCAGGTATCTTCCGAATGGTCAGGAGAATAAAATCAAAAATTTAAATTTAATTTAGTCATCAATAAAAATCGAAACCTTGATTTTATTTGAATGAGAACCAGATACTAGGGCTCAGAATATTCAACAAATATGAATTTGAGGGAACTTCGGGTTTCATTTACTGCGGTGTTTTATGAAAGAGACACGACTGCAATATGTAATAAACATTACTATGCAACAACCAGGTATTCCAAAATGAAAAGCAATCGAAAATATTTTCTGGATATAAACTGGCACTGAGTATAAATGCTTAGCGTTATTAATGCTTTTTTAATTTTAGAAATGAAACTTAGTAAATGTTTAAATGGTATTAAATCAATACGCATATAATTCTGTCGTTGAGGTAAAAAGAGTTGATTCTTTTAGTTAGTTACCACTGTTTATTGTATAATGTAAGCCACAAGTAAGTGTTAATCAACGAAATTGGCATTACCAGCTGTAAATTAAAATACCAATTTAGAAATTTCCAGAGAATTATTTACATGCTTTAAAATTCGGTTATCTGAAAAAATATATTTAATGTATTACATGGATATATAAAAAATAAAATTATTCACATAATTCCATGTAAATTTACGATACATTTATTTTCGTATAGTGCATGCTTTTTCACAATGGTTTCTAGTATTAAAATGATAAAATTTGCCACGAATTCTGTAAATTTATTCCCAGTTTGAAAATAAATTACAAAAAGCAATATTTGATATATAAATATAATAAAGCACGAATACAAGTAGAGGTAATTTATAATTTAATACGTAAATTGAAATTAAGCTATATCATATAATACTTAAGCTATATCATATAATAAATAATTTCCATAAATATTATTATTAGTCCTAAAGGATACACAGTCTCACGCGCTGGAAATAATTTTTTTCCGTACAGATTTTGCCATTGCTCGCTTTGAAATCGCTGCGTTTGTTAATAAAAAATTCCTTGAAATGTTGCAAAATATGAAACCGATAATATAACAAATTTCAAATTCCAAATTAGGGCTTCCACCTGCCCATATTCTATAGAAAATTACGTTATTCAAATTTTGATGGCTCTAGGTACCGTTGTTTTATCACAATGCGAGAAACATACATTTATGCAGATTCTTCATTATTAGTCCAAAGGGGCTTTGTCCCTGAAGGACTATTGTTATCGTCTTGCGATTTTGCGTTGGTTCACTATTAATGTCCGTTTCACTTTTCAAACTGTTGCCACCGAGTGTTATCCTGCATTATATTTAAAGAAATTAAATAAAGAAAAATCTGCATAAATGTATGTATATTTCTCGCATTGTGATAAAACAACGGTACCTAGAGCCATCGAATTTTGAATGACGTAATCCTACTGCGAATATGCATGGGGAAGACCAAATTTGGAATTTGTTTTATAATCGATTTCATATTTTGTAAAACTTTAACGAATTTTTGATTAAGAAACTCAAGGATTTCAAAGCGAGCCATGGCAACGTTGTACAGAAAAAACATTTTTATGTCCATCGCGTGAGATTGCGTATCGGAAATTCTAAAGATATGCTCATCTTAAAACTATTTTGCGATATTGCTCTGGAACTGAATTTTATAGTTTAAGTGAGAAGAACATGCTATTTAATAGATGATGGTAACAGACCAATGTTAAAAAGACGCCCCTTTAGACGTAATTTAAAATCTGAAACCATTCAGATTTTCTTTTTTAATTCTTTTTTTTATTATTATTACTATGACTAGGCTTACCATTATTTTTTTGCTGAAACTCGAGTATTTTTTGCTGAAACCGGGACAATGTTGAGAAAGTACTTAAAACAAAAAAATAAAACCTACTATAATAAATAATTATGATTGAAAAGGCTAAATAAAGACGTTGTGAACAAAAAACAACTAAAATTTTAAAACTAATTTTTTTTAAAAAATGTGTAACAAAAACTGAGTTAAAAGGAATTTTTAATAACTTAACTCAGCATACATTCTTAAGAAATGATTAATATCTATCACCTAATGCTAACACAGGTCCCTGTTTTTTAGAAGAAAAAATAATCCGCAGAATTTTTTTTTTCCTGAATAATAGTTTTTTTTTTTTTTCTAACATCTCTGATAAACTGAGGTTGCTTTATTTCCTAATTTTAAATTTAACAATGGCATGTTTTCCTTCATTAAGGAATTATATCTTAGTATTAAGATCAGACGTACAGAGTAGGTTAAATCATTTCTAGAAATGTTTTTAACAGTTCTTAAATGAACTTTTGGATTAAAAACATAGCGAAAATTTCAAAGCTTTTGCATTTTAATAATTAAAATGCTGTGAATTTAAATGACTCTAGGTATATTTGCATTAAACTAGTTACATTTCACTGCTATTTTTCAGGTTATTTTTTACTTCCTTGTACGAAGTATAAGAAGCATTGTAATCGCGAAAAATTTCGGGTATCGTATTGCAACAAAAATATCAATTTTGACCGCTCTCGGTTCTATTTGAACGATTTTTTTCGTTTCATCTGTACATAGGGTAAGAATGAAGGACTTTTTTCCCTAAAACGGATTGTGAAAGGGATTTAAAATGGATTCAGAAGAGAATTTTTCGTGACGTCTGTACATACGTACGTATGTATATATCTCGCCTAACTCAAAAACGAGTAGTCTAAGAACGTTGAAATTTTGCATATAGGACTGCTATAACATGTAGATATGCACCTTCCTTTTGTGGGTGCAGTCAGTTTCACCAAATGTGTATATATATATACACATACAAAGTGTCCACAATTTTGGCCACCACTGTATAGTAAGAAATTTACAACTAATGTTTCACAAAGACGAAAATTTTTAAATTCATGATTAATAAATTTCAAATAATCTAATAAATGCAATAAAGAATTTAATAAATGTAAAAACCAAAACTTTTAAACAATCAATACCACATTCCAAAAAATTCTTTAAAGAAATTAAAAGAAAAAAGAACATAACAGAAGAGTAATTCAATGAACTTCAATGCCACTTCATTAAGGGATATCGACTTTGTTACCCGGCTCAACGAGCTATGTTTTTTATTTTTATATGCTGGTAAATTGCACAATGTTTGCTTTAAAAATTGAATTGAATGAGAAATATATCTCTAATAGAAGTCGGGAAAATAAGTTTAAATAAAATTCAACAAAAATTGTGCATAATTTAATAGGCCGTACAAGAAAATCATGTGTCCACATCATATTTTTATCATTGTTTAACGTTATCAAAATAATATGGTCAAACGTGATCACATTAAGCGGCGCCTATTATATTTACGATCTATGCTCGAAGTATATATATTTCGTTATATCACCTAGTTTTCGAAATGTGTTGTAGCACTTGAATAGTACTTTATTACTGTTCTTCGTATTTAATATATATTTCTTCGTATTTAATTCATATTTGCTTCGTATTTAATTTAACAAAAAAAGATACTAAGGTTAGTGAAATATTGTCGTAGGCGAGAATTTTATCAGCAAAAAAAGAAGATGGAAGAATCCTCAAAAACAAGTTTATTGCGCAAGTAGCGAAAATTAGGATTGCGAAAAAATAAGAAGTGATGGGTTATGGGAAGAGACCAGTTTGATAGTAAATATGTTTAACGTTGAATTTAAACTTTAAATTAAAATTTAAATTCTGGTAAAAGTTAAGGAAAACGAAGATAGTATGTTTAAAATCAATAGTCTTTACCCAGACATAGCGATTGTAGGTTTTCGAAACTAAATTAGCGTAGTTAATAAAATTAAACAACCAGGATTATAATACAGAATCTGTAAAGAGAATTACTTGCGAATAACAGGTCTAACTTTAGTTACCATTCTGCATTATTCTCCTATTAGGTTTGAAATAATAAATCATATCTCAATATAAAACCAGACATTGTGTTTCATAGTTAATGCCTGCTTTTCAGAAAAAAGGTTAAGGTTAATGTAATATTTTGAGATATTATTCGGTAATTAAAATTAGGGAAACATATATATTATACATATTATATTATAATCCATCTTTTTCATTTTCTTTTTTCTTAACAGGAAGTTTGCTACATATGCTGCCAGCTATAATGTCTAATTACCATAAACAAGGTAATATTGTATTTCTTTACTCTATCTCTTCCTGATTTGTCTTATCTATTAGGAACCTTTTATTCATTAGAATTGGTATAATTAGCAATAAACATTTGCATTGATCTAAATTATTATATAAATTTGATTGCATTTCTTTTGCTTTGCCGTGGTTTTGTATCTATTTTTTTAAAATTTTGTTTTGATATAAATTCCTATTTTTTAAAAATAAAACTGTGTATTATTTAAATGGAGATAATTGTTCTATTTGTAATTCCTATGTTTTTGTATAAGAATTATACATATCATCGTTTGAAACGTTTTGGTAAAATTTATGGCATTGCATCTCGAAATTTATTGAATTTGACGAACAAGCTGGCAACATCTGTAAAATATCGCCAAATTTCATGATTTTGCGAAATACTTCAACTCATATATCTTCAATTTTTATAGCAAATAAGAATGAAGATAACAAGGGAATTATAGAATTTTCCATTCTTAAACCGATCTTCATGCTCATTATTAAGGAATCACCCAAAGTATTTATTCTGCGCTAGATTGGCGCAAGTGTTCTCGACTTAAGAGCAATTTTTTGTTACCCGGCACTGATAGTCTTCATCATAACGTGCCCAAGGGCACTCTTTGGCGTCTATGGATTGAAAAGTGTTTGTTAATATAAAGTGCTAGATTTGTTTCTCTTTTACGTAGTTTTGTGATAGTATTTTAGCAATACTGGAGCTATAATTTATACTATTCTTTTGTTTCTACTGAGCGTAATCATTTCCAGAACTTCAGTGTGGATCAAGCTTTTCATATAAACTGAAGCATGCTTTGAAGTAATTAAGAATAATCTTTTAAAGTGCAAATATATATATGTGTGTCTATAATAACAATTCATAAATTTATTTGGCGGAATGGAAATTAATAAATTTATTTAAAAATAAATAGAGGTAAACAAAAATGTTTGTAACACTTGAACTAACTATTCAACTAAATATGTGAAAGCAAAATTTTTCTGCTTGGTATTAATTTAATATTAATAACAGAAATTATATAAATAACAGAAGTTGAAATTTAACAACATAAACAGAGTTCCGTTATTAATTGTGCAAATAACAGTAGAGTTCTATTATTAGTTGTAAAAATAATGGAATAAAAGCAGAGTTCTGTTATTAATTATATAAAGAAAAGACGTTGAAACGTTTAAAAATTTATGAAATGTTTACATAAATTGTATTAAATATTTATAAGCATTTATTCGAATGCATTCTATAAATTAAAAAAGGAATATATTGCATATCAAGGAATGCGATGCCCACAATAAGCATGAATTGTTATTTAAAATGAGTAATGCTAAATTATATTTTTTACAGGTGGACACATACATCACAAGCCTCATCATCACATAGGACATCAAGGTAAACCAAGATTTAACTATTTTTATTTAATTATTATCACACACATTTATTAAATTATTATATTTAATTATTTTATTTAATTATTATCACACAGCTCTATAATTACAGAAATATAAAAATAATAGTCTAATAACCTAAATTTATAATTACCAGAAATATAAAATCTGTAATTTAAATATTTGGATATGAATGATTTGGAATTACATTCCGTAAAATCTGAATCTTCTCGCTCCTTAGAGATAATTTTAAAATTCTAATTTAATGAGGAACGACATTCCCTGTAATATGACTGTTTTTTTTTCAGTTAGCGTTTCGGAGCTAAAAGAAACTGGTTAGGTATAGCATATGGTGAGGAAAAACTAAAATAACATTTAAAAGTAGATTGAAATAGTAAATATATAACCTAAATAAACATAAACAACAAATTCCTGAGAAACACAAAAGGCAGTTAATCTGGTCAAAATGAGGTGGCATTGAATACCGTATGCATTTAAGCAAAACCTTACCATGTAGTGAATGCAAAAAGAAATCCATCTTCGTGACTGGATGCGCTTTTCGATGACATCATTTCTATTATGCTGGAGAATCTTTGGCGCCATTTGAGTTCGCTACTTCGTCTTCATGCTGTTTGCTTATATTTTGTTTTCTGCACAGGATTACGCTTTCAGCATAAAATAAGCGTTTTCACTAATTAAGTGCGTCTTGTGTATTTCTATTAGGTTATAATTCTTACAAGAGTGATATGTGGTGAGTTTAATACGAATGTTACAAGGTTCTTCAAAAAGAATGATGCAGTGGTTACATGTATGTTAATTTCATAAATGTACATGCATAAAAAGCTCAGTCGCAGTTCATTTCAACAAATGCCTTCCAATAAATGAAATACTGAGGAATTAAAATATTTCTTTTTAAATGGGCTTTCATTGTATTTTTTATTATTTCCTGTGAGTTACGTATCTGTGTTACGCACATGCGATAGGAAAGCATAAAATAATATCAATTTTAACATATAAAAATTTGTTAGAAATCTGCTTGAAAAAAAAATTAAGTTTCATTTTAAAATTAAGCTACTGGAAAGCTGGAGTTGAGAAATAAGGTACATATGAAGAAATGTTTTAGCTTAATACTTTTAAAAAATGTGTGATATTTTTTTTTGTTTACCTAAGAAGAAAAATTCCCTCCTTATTACACGCGAATTAAATTCAAAAAAACTTTCTTCTGTTATGATAAAACTACACAGATATTTCACTTAAGATAGCAGAGTACTAGGAAAACAACGAGAAAGTGTAATAATTGAATTTTGTTTATAACCCTATTGATCTAGTTTCAAGAATCTATGTTTATAAAACTCATTCAAATCATTTACGTATCAAGAGATATATAAAGTTGTATGTAGTGCACTGAAACGTTTGGGAAATTAAAGAATGTTATAAACAATTAATGTCGATCTCATATGCTGAGTCCCAGCAGCTGTTCAGTGGCTAGAATTAGTAAGTACAGAACATTGGTAATCCACTAGGACCTTGATGCTTAATACATTGTTTGGATTGTCTTCACACGTAACGTGAACAGAAGTTAATTTGGTTAGAAAGTTATCCATGAAGGCATTCCAGAACGGTGTAGCACCAGAGTACCCGCGTAACTAACTAACCTTATCGAAAATTTCTGATTTCGAAAATCAACTCTGGCAGTTACTTGTAATGGCAACTAAATTATCAAAATTACTTAAAACATAAATTAAATTTGATTTAATTTGAAACATAAATATGTTGCGATTTGCCGAGTGGCTATACAGAACTTTTATACATTCTTAACTAAGAATTACTTAAATTGGCACAGAATAGGAAATAAATCAAAAACAAATTCGAAATTCAAAATTTGGATTCAAAGTGCACGTGTTCTGTTGGAGAATTATGCGTGTACAAAATTTGGAGGCTCTGGGTGCCATCGTTTTCCCATACTGCAAGAACACATACATACATACATATATACATACATGCATACATTTATACAGACAGATAGGTTCTTCATTATTTAATAATAAAGAAGAGATTTACAGTGTATTGTTGCATTGAAAAACAAGACGTTTAATAATAAATTATTCTTACTTTCTTATATTTAGGTTTTTTGGTGTATTTAATTATGGCAAAGCACACTAGGGCTATCTGCCTAAGGGGAGGGATGCCTTTCGTGGAGGACTTTCTAAGGGAAACTGGCTCGTATACACGTTACACATGGGGAAAACCACGAAAACGCCCATGCAGCCAGCCCGTTCGCGGGATTCGAACCTCGGACCGAACTACCAGTGTTCAGCGTCTTTACCGCTCGGCCGCTGGTGGGCTTCTTATATTTAGAAGCCACTATTAAATGTCTTTTACAAAACAATGCAAGTAAAAAACTGTTTCAGATGTTAGTTCTGCATAATTTAAGTTAGAAATCCGAAATTTTTAGAATATTACTCTTTTATCGAGTTTATGATAATCCTGTCGAAGCAAAAATCGTGTATATTTTTTGTGTAACAAAACCAATCTGTTACTGCGAGAAAGGCGTATTTAAAAAGGTCTTGCTTAGCATAGTTTCTTTGCTTGGGTCATATCTTGGATTTAATTTTTGATAATCTTTTACAGACTCAATTTTTCAGAAATATTTCCACATGCATAGTATACACAGTTACATATATTAATAGCATACATATTTACACACACGTAGTTAGAATAATAATAAAATTTTCAAGATGAATTTCAAAATTTGAGAATTTATTTATTTAAATAAAATTACTCTCGCATAGCTATGTTAAGCTATATTAAAACAATCACTGGTGATAATCAACGCTGGAAATAATAAATTTTTCTCCTCTGCTTTATCCTCCTTTTGATAAAAAAATAATCTTCCACATGAAAATTTATTGAAATTTCTGGAATTATATATCGAATTCGGTGAATTTTCAAAAAACATTTTCAACTGTAGTACAGTTGCTAACAACGACGTCTTATAAATTTATGATATTTAATTTTTCATTACTGTCAGTCTCGGAATTTAAAGTGATAATGGTATCAGATTTCTAAAATGAAACAGAAATTAAAATGCTGAATAATAGGGCTTGCGATAGATCGGCATGTTTTGAAAAATATAATAACACCTGCGACTCTGATTAAAAAGAATAATTTTCCTGCTTTAAAAGTTGATGATTTTCTTTCTTTACTCTTTTCCCCACATTCTATAGACTAAAGGCATAAAACAGAGTGTATAAAAATATTTTTGATTAATACAGTTTTATTTAAATGAGTTAAAAAGTACAAAAATTGCTTTTAAATATGGTAATATGTGACAAAATTTTTACTTTAAAATCTTTGAGTTTTTTTATTGTATTTTTATCACTAATTAGTGTAAAAGATTACTAACAAATATTATAAATTTTGCGTTAAAGCATATTAATTGTTTAATGAGTAAGATATAAAAATTAAGTATAAAAAAGCTGATATGTACACCACGTGTTCCTTGTACGGAATATTAAATTATAAGTATTATTTTCTGCATTTAAACTTATTTCCTCAAATTTCATTAGAGGGACAAAATATATATTTTCGTTGAAATATGGTACCTGGAATTTTTCGTGATTACAATACTTCCTTTACGTCATACAAGGAAGTAAAAACAAGCAAAAAATAATCAAAGCAAAAAACAGTTTTTTGTTTTTAAATTCTGTTGCTCTATAAAATAGGAATGCCCTCTATAAAAAACTGTGTGAATGATTTTTCATCTGACATTACCGCTCAGCGAAAACAAAGCAATACAAATACTGCGGAGAAATGTTACTCGTGCTACTTAGCATCCAGATGTCATTTGCGTTGTGTCTAATCACGAGAACGGTTTTTTTTTGCTATGTTCGCTGCGGGGTACGATTTGCTTATTTTTACGTACCCGTACCATCCAACGCAGAGATAATGGTTGTGCCGATGTGGTGAGTTAAGCCATCGGAGATTTGGTAGTAAGAAATTAAAAAAAAACTAGGCTACAGAAGAAAAAAAACATCATAATTTATTTACGTTATGTCACTGCGTTTATACTTTCTTTGACTCGGTCGAGGTCAAGGTTTGCCGTGTATTCTAGTTTGAATAATGAGAGTATTCTTTCTTGCTTGAACTGATTCAGTTTCTATTTGATGTAATTCTTAGTAAACAATTAAAACATCTAGCAAACAAAACTTCCTTAAAACCGCGTGCTCTTTTAAAATCAAAATGCCACTTTTCTTCAAGCGTGGATTAAAAAAAACGTTAAATGATGTTTCCGCTTTTCACATTTTTTTCATAAAAGTGAAATCCTCTTCTGATTTTTTTTGGTAAACTAAAAAAGTACTAAAGTAGGTCTTCCGTAAAAGTGAAATGGCGTAAAACGAACATTTGTAAAACGGGGGATATCTGCATCAATAATGCTATAATAATCTAAAATATAATTACAAAATTTAATGCTTTTAAATATATGTAAGCTGTGTATGTATTTTAGTTGTACTATAAAAATGTCGGAATCAGTTTTATACCGTCACAAGTTTATCTTAAGAGTATCAGCTTGCCATTTTCCATTCATTTAGTATAAATTTGTTTCAGAGAATGGAAAGAAAATCAATTTTCATTACCATAATAAAAAATTATTTTTCTGTCAGAAAAATAAAACCTGAAACAACAGGTCATAACTGTATAACTTTCCTAACGTATGTGATTAAGATTTGAAAAATTAAGCCATAGTCAAAGATAGGCTAAAGAAGCGAATAAACAAATAAGCAGCTGTTAACTGATATGACTGCAAATTAGTGCAATAAAAGCATTACATTCTTAGTCATCGTTTAAAACAACACAGGTTCCAATGATCGCGATAAATATAATGTTTCCCGGAACGTGATCTATATTTGCCAAGTATCATCTTCTCAGCTAATTGCGCTGAAATCTAATTATTTTTTTACTAATTATTTTCCTCTTCATAAGTCCGCGAAAGCATAAGTGGTA